TCCGGCTTCTCGCCGCTCCCGCCTCGCTGCTGCGGAGGCCCGAGAGGGGTCTCGCTATCCCCGTCAGCCTCAGCCCCGCCGGGGAGGCTGGCTGTAGCGCTGCGGCCTTGCTCGGGAACAGGCTGAAGGCGGCATCCGGTCCGTCCAAGTAGCCTGAGCGCTGTTCAACACGCCGTGCGTTTTTCCTCTTGTCCTACCCAGCTGGCTAAAGATCTAGTGCATCCCTCCTTAGAGGATGAGAGGAGAAAGCACAAAAAGAAACGTCTTGTGCAGAGCCCAAACTCCTACTTTATGGATGTAAAATGCCCAGGTAAATATTCAGAATGTTTCTGTCTCACAGGAGGAATGAAACTAATTTTGTTATGCGGTTCATAAAAGGTCTGGGGTTTTAAATTTTTTTTTATTCTAAATGTGGTTTATCTGTTCTGTAGAGAAAAAAAGTCTATATTGCTTTGGGTTCTTTTAACAGTAAAAGTGCTTTCAACCTTTCAAAAGTGTTAATTTAAACAATCAGCTTTTTATTTTCTTTTCTGGAGGTCTAGCATGAGATTATTTTTTTTGGTTGGGTTTTTTCCTTTATGAAATCCTAGCAAGTAGGGAAAAAACCAAACCCCCAGATTTGCACGTATAAGAAGTGAGATGAAATGGATGCTTTAAAGCATCCACAGCACAAGTTTCAAATAGAAGACAACATTGTTTTCCTCCTTTTGTACGTGGGTTGATTCTGGAAGAGCAACCAGAAGAACTTTGACCAGAATATAGGCAGGCATACTGGGACTTTACATAGAAAGTAAAACATACACAACTGCCTTTTTCGCATGTTGCTGTTAAGAAGTAAGCTGACATCTAGCTCACATAGGCAGGGGTTATATTTAAGGTGTTGCCCGTGCCCGCTTTTCACAGATTTTTCTTTAGTTTGGCTTGGAAACATCTGAATAACCAACTCCTCTTTTATAAACTAAAACATGGGATTTTCTAGCACAATTACAGAAGAATGCTCTACCAGTGAACAGCTTCTTTGATCAGCACAGCTACATCCATATCAAGGCACAGAATGTCAAGTGTGGTAACTTACCTCCTAGAAACTACTGCAGTATAAGATTATAGCAGTAAGAAAATGCATAGACTTACTGACTAGAAGCAGGGAATTGTTGCGCTATTCAGATTTTCTTATCATCTTATTCTTTCTTAGTAGCTTAGATTTCTAAGAAGCTCCGAGACATTGTTTTCCATCTAAAAGTGAGGTAAATTCATTAAAACTGTTTGAAAGTAAAGTGTGGTTACTTTAAAGAAAATACATGGTTGAAGGCTAAGCCACTGTTGTTTGGTTTTTTTTAAACTTTCTTCAAACCAGTGTACATGCATGCATATACTAAGATACAGTTCATGTCAACATAGGCCCAGAGGTCACTGGTTATTTTCATTATTGTTGGATTAATTGGTTATTGAGTTTGAGGGATATATAGAGCAAAGCAGGAGAGCTTCAATAATGACAAAGTCCTAAGCACGAGGCACTGAAAAAATCAGATGGCCTTATGCATCATTCAGTGTTGTTGGAAGTCGCTGCCTAGTTACTGAAATGGATTGGGCTCATTTCCCTGCAAAATCCACAAAGTTAAAAACTCATCAACATGCAAGTTCACATTCATGGCAGGGGGGACACACAACATTTGCTACGCTTAAATTTTAGCTGCTAGCAGTTTTTTGCAAACAAAGATTTGTGCAGTTACTATTTGTGACTTAAAGTGATTTGTGCAGTTACTATTTGTGACTTAAACAAAGGAGAAATCTGTTACTCTGTCTAATAGGAGTTCTCTCTACCAACTAGTTGTCTTGTCAGAGAGTTTTCTGAGGACCTTCCTCACAGCATATATTCTATCTTATCTTTCTGGTCCACACATGCTAAAAATGGAATCTATGCTCACCTTTACTTGCCTATTTTCTATATCCACATCTAGATTAAATCCTTTACAAGTTTTCTCTCTCCCAAAATTCCTCTTGGCTAATTAAAAGTACTTTTCAGGGAAAAGAATGAAAGCAGTGAAAATCCCTTTGTGTAAGCCATGTGTGAGAGTGATTTCATTCTTTCTTAAGTCATAGAATTTAGAAGTTGTAGACCAAGTGTTGCTGATGCCTCTTCTTGCATCTGGAATTAGTGAAGTTAGTCTGTGCAAGTCTTCTCGTTTAAATACGATGCTAGCTTTGTAGAATGCAACCAAGCACATGCCTTCTGCGTACCAATTATTAAACAGAAAGCAAACACAGATTTGAACAGCAGTGTTTACATTCACAGCTGCCAGACTTTGTCAACAGCAATGTTCTACTATTACAAGTTAAATACTTCTCTAGCTAGACGGGTTCTTCTATTTGGCAGAGAAGGCTAGTCTAGAACTCCTCGACTTTTTTGCACGAGACATACTACAGGGCTTGTCAGTCATCAGGCTGTGTTGATTTTCATATGGGGAGTCATAATAGTTTCAGTTAACTAACTTGCTTTCATGTGCATGTTAGTAAAAGCAAGTACTTCAGACCACAATAACAATGTTTTGCTTTGTTTTACTTGGTATATTGTGGAATGAAATATAGATCAATTTTTGGACAGGTGTGTTTAGAGTATCTGATTCAGTTACACATACAATAAAAAAATCATGCTAGAAATACTCAATGGAAAGTTTAATAATGCTGTTTTCCAGGATGCTACAAGATCACCACTGTATTCAGCCATGCTCAGACAGTAGTTCTGTGTGTAGGGTGCTCCACTGTCCTGTGTCAGCCTACTGGGGGGAAAGCCAGGCTCACAGAAGGTAAGGGGCAATGTTTAGCAGCCTAAATATTCCACTTACATAAATGCATTTATAGCCTGCAAATATTTTAGCTTTGATTTTGAAAACTGATACTGGAATGCTTATTTTGCAAATTGCTTAGAGTTGGCTAGTAAAAACATTGTTAATGGACCCTGAATTGCAAATTTTTCTTCAGATTCTTGTTTTTAAATGGCTACAGAGGTATGCCAGGCAGCTAAGCAGCTACACTGTGATCAAACATACTTGATTTTAGGTGCTTTGACTTGTTGTTTTCTTTAGCCTATCTGTAATAAATACTGCCTATTTAATTCTGAGCTAAGTTTAGATGGTTAAAAAGCACCATTAAAGGAGTAGGGTACTTTTGCCAGTCCAAAGCGATTCTGTGCCGCTGCTAGTCACTGGTGGCTTGCCTGTTTGTTTTTAAACAGTAGTACTGTAAGGCAGTTCCCTGGCTCATGTTACTTAATCAAAATTTGTTTTGTGTAAATTGTAAGGGAACAGATAACCACTGATAATTATACATGGATAACGGGTATAGCACCAGTATCTTGAAATGCAACCCAATGTCTGGGGTATATGAAAAACACTGAAAACACATGAGGGTTTAAAAAAATTAAATAAATCCAGATTTTATTCATGTTTTGTTTAAAGGACAAAAAGATAAATATATATGCAAGTTACATATAGTAGTACTTACACCACGTGCTACTATACGGATGTAGTTTATGAGAGGTCACAATGCCTGAAGTAAGGCTGTTGAGCAGTTGAAAAGGTATCAACACTCCTAGCAGCTGTTTCAGTTTGGGGTTTGTATCACTAAGGGATGGAACAGTAGACTGAAATTTTAAAAGGCATCTGGAAGAAAAGAAATAGTACACCTTAGCCTTATTTTAAGATTAATTATATGACAGCCATGTTGTTCTGGTTGAGTTATAGAAGGCTCAAAGTGCTAAATCTTCACCTCTTGTGGTACATGAAATTTAAGTTTGTTGCATGGGTTTTCCTACTTAAGTTGGGTGGGCAATTTCCCAAGGCAGTCTAACAATTTAAGGACTATTCATATCTATACTCATGTGATTTCTTTACAGGCTGTTCATTTAGAAGAAAGCAACACTGAACACTTCGGCATGTGGTTTTGGATCTGTGTTCCTGAAAGCCTTACCAGTTTAAAAATGCCTGTTAATACAACAATGTAATTAAGATTGATTTTGTAAAAATTACATGCTACTGGTGCCTAATAAGCTGGAATCTCTTTTTCAGTAAATGATTTGAAGTGCAAGTTTTTCCTGCAAGTTTGCAGGCAACTGAGCTCTATTCTTATAATTTTACTTTTAAATAGTGTATTGTTAATTGGGTGGTGTCATTTAATATAAAAACCTTGGACTTGCTACATCCTTCCCCTCATTAATTATCAGCTACAGCTGTGTAATGCGTATCATGACAGAAACTGCTGTAAGAATGCATTTTGTATACTTTATTACTGCAGCTACCCTAACTGCAAGGGTTGCAAAGGCTAGATAGATTTAAAATGGCTCATTTGCTTTCAGCATTTCTTTAGTCCCTTTACCATGTAATGCATGTGTTTTCCCTCCCTCTAATCTGGTCTTGAAACTGCATTTCGTATTCTATAATGAGATATCTATTTAAAAAAAGAAAAATAGTCTTTTGCAAAACACTGAAAGCATTCAGTATAGAAAGTATATAGTATGTAAGCAACAGTAAGTCAGCAAACTACACTAACAGCTGTGAATAGTATCCAGTCATTAAAAAAAACAAAACTAGTACAGCAAAACCATGCATATTTTCAGTATTAAATACTGACATTAAATAATTACCTTTTTGCAATGAGGAAACAGGTTTTTAGCTAGTTTTTAAAAGCCATCCCTTTCTAAATGGCTGTTAAGAAGTGGATTTTTTTTTTTTTTAAACCGTGAGAAAACATTCAAACAAAGTCTTACATGTATCTTATTTTACTAAATAATATCTCAAGTTACGTATCAACATCTCTTTCAAAGTATCAGGTGTATTGGTAAGCTAATTATTGTTGGTAATTTCTATTTAACCTGTATTCTTTTTATGACTTTTAAAACTTGTATGTTTCTAGTCAATAAAAAAACCCCCAAATCTGGTATTACAATTTGTTGCATTTGCAAGATAAGTTTTATTTCAGTTAATTCAAACTGTGAACACTTACAATTACCAGATGCAAAAAGTAGGTGTTTGATACAGAAATAGATGCACCAATTTAGTATACATGCCTTTTAAGAAAAGTACAGTTTTATGTCAGTGCCATACTGTGTTTTCACAATAAAGGTTAATTTAAGAGCAAGTTTATCATGAAAGCTGCTCTTAATTGACCAGTTTCCCACACTTAATGCCAGTCCATCAAATAACTGGTTGCAGAACAAAGATCAAAGTAGCAGTATTAATTCACTTGTGACCTGAATACACATGCTAAGGCCAGACTGATTCCTAGTCTCCCATATCTCTGCCTTCTTCTCCTCCACCCTAAGAGATAAGAACTCATGATTAAGCAAATACCAAATCAGAGAAAGTCAGTGACCCATTTTGTTCCAGGTACTAGAAGATGAAATTTAGACATCGTAGCATCTCCAATACCGTACATGTGACAACAGAGGTTTTTTTAAAAGCCTTACATTGCAGGGGATACAGTAAAAAGAACATGGTACGCATATAAAAAGTTGGTGGCTAAACATATTCTATGAGGGGAGTGAGACACTGTCATTAATAACTTGGTGTTAAAAATGCCTTAGACACTTCTTACCATTATTCACTTTCATACGTACTTCAAATATTTCCATTTATTAGTGGTTGGACATATGCAGACAAGCATAAAGGTAAACCTACACCTTCTACATTCTGAATCTTTGTCTAAACCCAAACACAATGGTCAGTGAGTGAAACTTGTTTTCTCTCAAATATGCAAAATGGTTTTCAAGAACAATAAATACCATTTGCAAAACAGATGCATCATACAAGAAAAGTATGTTATAAATCCTAAAATAACAGCGTACTTTTCAGATTTTTCTATATTTAAAACATTGTATTCAGTCTATTTCTATTCATGTATTCTTCAACATGAAAACAACTCAGAACTACTTACTCTTGTTCCCTGTGTAAAACAGGCAATGACTTCTGCTGCTCAATGTTTACTCAGCTAGCAGGTGCTCAAGACTGGGGAAAAAAAAAAATGTTGCTATTGTAGAAGACGCTCACGTCCAGTACTTACGTATTGGAACTGTCAAACAATTTCAAAGACTTCAGTGGAAGAGTAGGTAATTTATTGCCTGACCAAATGAAAGTTTGTTCAGAAAGGTTCTCTCTCTTGTCTCTACTGATTTGATATTCTTGAGATAAAGACAACCCATTATTAATGAATAAAACAGTGAAGTTTTGGTGAGTGGGCCAGAAAACCCAAGCAAATAATTTAGGTGTAAGCTTTTACTGTTCTAAGGCACAAGAATGGTTGTAATTATGAAGAGTACTAAACCAGTCCTACTAGCTTCAATTAAAAATGTAGGTAAAACACCGACACTTCAAGATATTAAATTTCCTGGTTTGTCAGTCTTAGGTAGTAAATGTTGTTATCAATCATAGGCATACTGGGAACAGAGATGATAGTATGTTTTTCATCACAGGGCAGGTAACAACTATGAAGTTAATACAAAAAGCACTAACTTGGGAAAGAGGCAGGTAAGGCTATCTTCTGCCAGCTGTTATCTAAGACATTTTGCTCCTTAAATTCAGAGAAGCAGAGCTGCTAAACAGTGCAGGGACGTAAGTATTCAAACCTTTCCTGAAGGATATTTTGTTTTGCCTCAGCCTGGAAATAGTCTGATATAACTGCAGGGCACATGGGGTGTGGTTAGATCTTGGAGATCTTCCATGACATCATGGAATATATAAAATTAACATATTCAGATGTTACTGTATTCCTATAGTAAAATTGAAGATTAGAAAATGCTTCTTTGGAACTCTATCACAATTTCTTGTTCAACCTTGTGCAAAAGTAACTCCTTGAGGCAGGTCTCCAAATGGAAAAAAGGATGGTTTTCAAAAAAAACCTCTCAAAGTCTGTGAGACTTCTACTACTGGCTTCAAGAATGGGCTTTAAATTTTATGGAGTTATTCGAGTTCCTAATTCCAACATCTGAAGGAATATCTACATTACAGAATACAGTGCCATTTCTGGCTACCAAAGTTAGCATGTGTATCATTCAAAAACAATGAGACAGTTTGACAGCTTACCATGTTGTGCTATTCGGGCATATTTGACTGTGGAAATAATACCCTTTTTTCACAGTAAACTAGTTTCACACATTCTCTGTGTCCAATAAAAATGGAAGAGAGACATCTAAATAACAAAGATTTTTACTTGCATTACTCTAGCATCATTCTTTTCTAATTCTTAACAATCCACAGCTCTGACAAAAGCGTACGTCTGGTATAAATCTGCATTCTGGAGGTAGCTTTGAAGATTTGGGTTTTGTTGGTTTTTTTTGCTTTTTAAGCAAATAAGCACTATGTGAAAAAACAGAAATCAACAGTAAAACCATTTTTCTTTAAAAAGTAATACTGAACAGTTTTGGCAGACTAGAACTGTGAGAATAATGAATTACATCTTTGTGTGCTCAAATCAAGATGTGAAATTTTTCAGAAGTTTAACATTTAAGGTAGACAATTTGTTGTTGTCCTTCTCAGTGCAGGAAACCAATACAAGTTTTTTTAATCTTGGTCAAGTGCTTGACTGGATGAGGAAAAAACCTGCTAATATAACGATAATTTACACAGGTACTACAGGAAGTCAAATTTGACTGTTACATTCTCCTTTTCTGTAAGTTAGGAACTTCCCTGAGAGATGAATTCCAGTTACACGTAAGTTTAGCACCACTAGCAGAAGTTAATTAAGTGAATTTTTGATGCTTTTTCTTCACGTATTCTTAGTGATCTCGGAGTCCAATTACACCCTTCTCCATTTGTTTTTCATGTTTCAGTACAGTGAGTTCAGTTACACGTATCTCTTTTTTTAATCCATATATTGCGCCCATTTTTCTTTATCAAATTCCCTTGCAATCTTTAAGGCAGTGCTGTTGAGTGAAACTGATTGCATATTACAGATAATACTAACAATTACTCCTCTAGGTGGTGCCACTAGCCCAGTATCTATAGCTTCAGAGTCCAGCTCTTCAGGAAGAATTAGGAGGACACTACTTGCCCCCACTGCACCACCCGTGTGAGATGCATAGTGCCTCTGCTGTCTGCAACAGCCATATTGTTGTTTTTTCTCTACTACAGCCCAAGCCATTGCGTATTTACCATCCCTGTCCCATGATACTTCTGTTTTTGGCACTGGGGTCCACATCATTGCGACTGTGTCTGTTTTGAGGTACCCAGGAAGAAGTTTGCCATTAGTATTTTTAAATTGTCCGGCCTGATAACTGTATAACAAGGCATTTCCAAATTTCAGAAGGTCACCTACTGACGACAGAAAGCCACCACCAGCCCACTTGTAAGAGTTGTCCACATACGGTGCGTTTACCAGCCGTCCCTTTTTGTTGTAAACATAACACCTAGAATTCAAGAAAATTCAACTTGTCATTCTCAGATACTGCGCACAACTATTTTAAGTTCTCCTACCTTAAAAAAGCAAACTGAGCGTGTATTAGCTTGTTCTCATGAAACGTTAGAATTTTTTAAAATATATTTTTCTTAAATATGTTTCTTGTAGAAAAATCAACAAGGAATTCAGACGGGAAAACAAAAAATACGGTGACTTCTTAGGTTAGAAGCTTAGGTTCAATAAAAGTACTAATCCTTCTACTTACTCTTAGGATATACTAAGAGTAAAGGCAATATACAAGTAAAAAGATGTGACAGAAAGCTATAGATCAGCCAGCGCAGGATTTTTCTTAAATCACTGTACTAGATTTAAAGTGTTTAGAGAAAGAGGAATCCTCAACCACGCCATGATTATCAGACACCGAGCTGAAATTTCACTGCTCTGAGACAGTAGTTTCCATTTATGATTGATTTCCTCCCACTGCCCCATTACAGTTGCCATATACAACAACAACTGAATATTCTGGAACTACTAAGACAAGTGAGAAGCATGAAGGAGTCTTGCAAAACCTGTCATTAAAATACAAATTAAAAACTACCAACCAGAATTGCAGAATGAACTATCAGGAACAATACAACAGGAGTGCAGACCGAATTATGCTTTTGAAAGAAACAGTCCAATCATGACTGGATTCATTTCATACAACATACGAAAAGGAATGTTGAATAACTCTATAATCTGAGTAATTTCAACCTTTGGCCTTTAGACCACAAGATGTCCATGTACTACCTGGAGAGTTGTGAAAAGGAACCACACACACACACACAAAAAAAGGGGGGGGTGGGGGGGGAGGGGCAGGGCAAGCATACTATCAAACAGTACAGAGATACATTCCCTGTCTAGTCTGCACTTATATTGGAAAACTTTTAGGGAACTTCTGAAAGCCATAATACTGAAAATCAGAGGTTGAAGCAAAGGAAGAGACGAACGGTCCAAGACTACCATCAACTCTGCCAGTGACTTGATTATCTCGGTGTCCCTACAGTCAGTTTTTCAATCACAATAAAACCTGTTACAAAGACGCTGAAATGCTTGACTTACACCTCTAAAGATCTAGAACACGAACTTTTACACTTTTTCATGTCAGTGAAATACAGTATAACCAAACCATTAAACAAACCACAACATGTCAATATGTTCTAGTTTGAGGCACCAAGCTAGCTATTTGTGGAAGGCAAAACCATCACATTAGCATCTCAGTTTTGCTTAACAATAAAGTAGCCCATAAAAAGACCCCCAAAACAGTATCTGGCCCAATTCTTTCATCCCTACCATACTTCAGTTTATAAAACGGTTCATATACACACATATATTTAAACGAACTTGACTGTACAAGCTTGATAATTGGAGAACAACACTAGCATCCAGATCTACAGCCAAAAGAGCCTCTGAAAATTTGCAAGCAAAATACCAGCACAAAGCATCTTAGAATACAGCAGTAAAGCTATCTCTAAAACACTACAAACTGCTTTGTGTGTGTGTGTGTGTGTGTGTACACACACTTTAAATATACACTTACATGTAAGTACTATAAACCTTGGATTCAACATGTTCATCACCATTTTCATTCTTCGAGAGCATTTTAGAAGCCAAACTTTTAAAAAGTGTGAGTCTCATTTTCATAAGACTTTTTCCATAACCTGCTTTTGTGATTCAGTTAGAATTCTTCTCCTGCACCAAAATTTAACATGTGAGTCAATAAATGAATTTCAGAGCCCAGACAGGTAGGTCAATAAAATAAGACTGGAGAGAAAGACAAGAAACTCTGCCCTTATATTGGAATGGATTATCCACAGTTACATAAATTTCTCTGGGTTTTTTTTGTTGTTTTTTTTTTTGTTGGTTTGGGTTTTTTTTTTTTTAAGTTATTAAAAAGAAATCAATTGGTCAAGCATGTTCTGTGTTAAACAGAATTTTAATTCTGGTTAAAATCAATACTACAATTTAATTTATGAAAACCTGGTGTTACTGTGAGACTATTACAATTCATGGAACTCTTAAAAAGTCAGTATATTAAGCAAAACAAGGTAACTATATATTCTAACATAATCTCCTAGTGACTCCTTTATTTTACTCTATTTACACTTACCTGCTTATTTGTACCCAAAAAAAAAATGCAAACGACAAAGTCACCCCTGCCACTCTCCCCCGATATATACTCTTACAACAGGAAATACTTATTTCCTATTCTGCAATTTCACATGCTAATTACAGAACCAATACCATAATGCTGACATAAAATCAGTTACATGACTAACTTTGAAATAACATAAGCCACTTCATTTAAAAACCTGGGGAAAAAAAAATAAAAATCACACATTCTTAATTCAGTTGGCTTAATAAAGATAGAAAGAGCAACAATTGTTGTGGGAAAAAAAAGTTTCATCCTTGTTTACCTTGCTCTGTTATATATCATTGCTTCATTATCATCTAGTACAGTTGATAGCATATCCAAATCACGAAACATTTTTAGCATATAATCTGTAAATTTTTGTCCTGAAACTCTCTCCACAACAGCGCTTAAGAGAGTAAAGCCGTATGTTGAATACAAGAACTGACTACCTTGAAGAAACACAATAAAAAAGGGGAGGGAAAAAAAGTTAGCCACATGATGCTTAAATGGAATCTGAAGGATAAAATTTAAGTAATCACATGTGCAAATAAAACTATATATAGCAAATTAAAAGACTCCCCCTCCACCCCCAATTTTAATATGATGTGAATCACAAGCTTATGATACTGGGCGCTAGGAATTTCTGTACTGCAGCAGACACAGATGCTTGCTAAGTGCAGGTAGCTCTGAGAACAGCGCTAAAAGATTTTCAGGGATCTGCATGTACAGCCAGGTCTCAGCCAAGATGTGAAGACTTGACACTTAACATCCTTTCCACAAGATTTACCGTACCAGTTCTAACAAGGATGTCTGGATTTGGAAAGCTGAAGCAAACCATAAAATTACTTCTTAAAAGACGCTCACCTACGTGACTTCTTTGTGTGTCTATACCCGAGAGATGGAAAGACAAGGACAGTACTCGCCCAAGGTTTTCAAAGGTCTTGATCACTTCTATCATAGTGTTTCTAGTTCTAGTTTTCTAGTTCTAGAATATCCTGAAAGATTATATGAACACTAACGTGTATTATTTAAGACAACAGAATTTATTTACAAAACAATGTTTCATTTTTAAAAATCTCATTCTTGCGCTAACACCTTTTATGAAACATCTACATATAAAGCAACTGCCGAACTGCCTACAGTCGAGACAGATCTCTTACTTGAAATGGTTCCTAGAACTCTCCAAGTGGTTAACTTCTCCCCCTTCCTACCCCTCTCCCCTTAAATGCACATTATTTACTGTTTATCAGCAATGCGTATCATTTGCCTGTTAACTTAACTCATTTAGAACTTACACCTGAAGTTCCTCAAAGTCCTTTCTAGAATTAACTTGAATAATTCCAACAATAAATAACCTCAACAATTCTGTGATTCTGTGGTCTTTCTGTAGAATTTTTTAGCTCTGGTTTAGTGCCTCACTAAAATTTTTTGCTTTTGGTTCATATCTAGAAGGCCCAGAGCATGAATACAGCAAGTTGGTATCTGCTTACAAAATACTTTTTTTTATCTGGGACTCTCTGTATTACCTTTTAAGTCTTGGCTACATCACATGTTGAACCTGCTGGATTATGGTGCAGATACATCATTAGAAGTATCTATATAAGCACAATTCTTTAAGTCAGTAGATTGGTAAAGATATCTATACAAGACTGTTATCTAAAACTGAACTGCTAAAATCCTGACCAGTTCAGTCTTCAAAAGTTATATCAGTTTTAAGACAATTACACGTCCAGATGGTTTGTGCGAACAGCCCAAATACTTCTCCATTGAGCTTTTAATGGGGCACAAGAAAAAAAAAAGGGGGGGGGGGGGAGCAGAACAAAACAAAAACCCCACACAAACACTCTTTACTGGACTCTACTATCCTCACTGCATGTAAAACAATTTGAAACAAAAATTTCACCAGAAGAGCACATTTTGGTCTAAATGAATAGAAACTCACCTGGTTTAAAGAATAAAGGATCATTTTTAAATATCTTCAGTGATTCAATCACACTTTCAAATTTTTCCTTCAAATAATACTCTTCTTGCTCAAATTCCTTGTCTCTCCTGCCAGGTTTTGAATTTCGGCTTTTTACCTCACCTTCATGTTCTTTCCTCGGTTTGACAGAATCAGTCTTTTCAACGCCTTTTTCTTCTTTTTCTTTTTGTTCTTTATCCTGATAGGGTTTTGTTAGTTTAAATGCTCTGTTTGCCTTTTCCTTTTCTTCCTTCACTTTTGTAATATCTTTTTCATAGTGACGAATCCCACTCAAGTGTGAAACTAACAGTCTTGTAGTAATAGCAACCTAGGTAGAAAGGACAATACTTAAATGTGAGCTCTCTTCATTAAAGATATGATGCACACTAAATCACCAGAAAAGCAAAATTCAACATGACGAAGAACAGACAAAGATATAAGACCTTTTAAATACCATGTATTAAACCCAGTTAAAATACATACATGTATATGCACATACTACACACTTGATATAAAACTGAAGATCCAACTTTCCAGTGCTGCTTTTTCAAGCAGCAAACATCAGTACTCGTCTAAATGATTTTTGCTGTTTTACAGGAATAGGTCCAGATACAGGCACCTGTACACATATGGCTGTGCAATGACAGGAACAAAAATCAAAAGAAGTGTTACCAATAAACAATTACATACCTTTTCACCCTCGTAGACTTTTTCTGGAAATTCAGGGACGTATTTCTGCACTGGAGCATCTAAATCCAGTTTCCCCTCTTCCCACAATTTAGCAACAGCCATCATTGTAAGACACTTGCTAATACTAGCAATTCGCATGATCGTCTCTGGCTTACATACTACACGATTCTCTACATCAGCATAACCCAAACCTTTAAGAAAATAAAAACACTGCGGTAAATATTTTATATAGAGACATGCTGAATCAATTATTTGCAATGAATTAGATTTACTGGCTCCCTAAAATGTTTTTCCTCTAGCTATACTGGGACATGAAGCATTGGACTATCCCTGCTCCTGCTTCAATTAAGTTAACAACATTTTAAGGTAGTAGGAACAGTTAATCAAAGCCCATTGTATTGGCCAATGGCATCCCAAGTTACTGATTAAGACTACAGAACAAACCGAATGATAAATGAGATTGAAGATTAAGCCAAAATTTACACTACTGAGGTCAAATATTCAATGTAGAAAAACTAAAGAGACCAAAATCTAAACAGTAAAATAACTGACCAACAGTCATAAATACTCCTTTTATTGTTCTGACTTAATGGTTGAAACAGTAAAGGGTGTTATTTTATCAATACAGAAATTGAGAAAGGAAATCACTCACAAATTCATAGCAACTACCTAAGCTGTAAAGCTTCACTAAACAGTGGTGTTATACACTACGTTTCAACATCACTCAGCATGACTTCAATTAAAAGATAGCTTAATAGTCTCCATACCAGTGTTTTCCTATGTAACCAACCCACAAGTCTGGTAGCAAGAACTGGAATTAATAAGTCATTATCAAGCTCCCATACTAATCTTCAGTTTGAGCTAGGTTTGAAGAAATTGTGCAAGTAATGTTGCAGCATAAAAAGCAATGAAATGCAATAATGACATATTTGCAGTTTTCAATACAAGCAAGACCTGCAAGCTATGCATGTCTGTCTACACAAAACTGTAGTCTAATAATGAACTACTCGGGGAAAAGAAAAACTTGCTAAAATACAAGAAATAAAACAGATGACATGTCAGTTGCCCAAGACCCTTTCTTTTACGTAAAGTTGCTACTCGGGTGCTTGCCTGGTGCTTGTGAACGCAGATGCTGTACCCCTCAGTGAAAACACCTTCCAAATCTTAAATCACTCCTATCAGTTTAGCAAGAGAGCGGGTTTAGGACCGTGGTCATAGAATACATGCAACTTAACACCTGTTCCTAGTTTTTCCCCCCATGAAGAAGGGAGGAAGACAACAAAATGAGCCAGAAGTCTGCTAGAGCAATGTTACCCACCTCCCAGCTGCCTTACTCAAGGCAGTGTTGTTCTCTATATCCATATGCAGCAGGGTACAGAAAGCTCTGCCATGGCTTCTGCTCCCACATGTAGTTGTCTTGCTAATCTGGCAGTCCTGGTGATAAACCACAACCCTGGCACTAGTTCCCCCAGGCACTTTCCTGCATGTCAAGGAAGGGATTCTGCAGAAGTCTTATGAAAACTTCTGCTTTCATTGCTAGGTAATTTGAGACCAGAAAAAGCTATCTGATTTGAGAAAGTTTGTGATTAAGTTTCTAGTGCAATTTTCTTATTAGGCCACATTACAAAAGGTACCAGAGGCTCTCCAACTCACTTCTGTCATGATGAAAGAGAAATGAAAACCTATAGTCAGCTTTATACATATGTAAAAGTTAATGCAACAATAGACTGTCGGAAGAAAGTTATTAACACCCTTACTTACAAAGGGTTTTTTTTCAAATTCTGTAACACATTAATGAAATATGTTGCCATTTACTACTACTGTTTAAGTTGTCTAAAAAACCCAAAACACATTATGAAAATGTTTCTGAAAACAGACACACAGTTAGGTGGGGTTTTTTTTAAATAAACATCAAATGTCTACATGATACGAGCAGTACTAGCAGACTCTATTTAAAACTAAACCGTGTAAGCAGAAAAATCACTTGCAGTTTCTGGAAGGATGACACCTGTTAAATCTCAGTACCTTCCTAGCAAAAATCTACACCTCAGCCCACAAATGGGAGACAGATCACCAGATGTGAGCCATTATTACTTCGACTATTAAGTAAGGTCCTGTGGGGAGAACAGTTCTTTACCTCCTATACACAATTCTACCAGACTGCTGTACAGCTGTATGCCTAGTGTGTAAGTATACTCAAAGACCGATCTGACAAATTAATGGAAGAAAAGTCCTTAAACGTAACTGTTGAGATACACTAGCACATTCAGGAAGTTAATAAATTATTGATTCCTGGAAGTTATTGAAGTTTACCAAAGAAAGTATCACTTCATACTCCCTAGGCACCTGTTTCTGGCCACTGTCTGGAGATGTGACATCAAGTGGATGAAATTCCAGCTTGATCAGCGTGTCCAAATTGTTCATTTTTGAAACGTTCATCGCTTCTCAACAGCGTGCACAACTACTACTCCCATATACTAACCTTCTGACCAGACTTCCTTTCCATCTACAGAAACTCCAACTAGTATACCTGGGATTCCTGCTTCATCCTGTCAAAAAAACGGACAGAAGACATTAAGAAGGATCTTTACAGTTAAAAAACACCTTCTCCCAAACCCTAAAAATGCAAAAGCAATCCTACAAATAGACCTGCATATTGTTGTCACATTACAGTTGAAATTTTGTCGAATACTACTTGGGCTGAACTGGTAAAAACTGCTTTTGAAAAGCAGACATTTTAATCCAGCAGCTGGGAAAAATATATCTAACAACAATAATAATCTAAATAAAATAATTTATTTAATAATTTAATTAAATTAGCGATCAGGACATGCAAGAAACACTGAACAGAAACAAAACATTACAGAGTTAATATGCAACACGCAAACTGCATCATCTATTAGCAAGCAGAATTTCAAAGGAGCTTTGATTAGATTTTCGAAGTAACTACAAGGTGCTTTTTAAACAATCCCCTTGCCTCTCCCTCTCCTTCCTACAGCCTTTAAGGCCTTCCCGTGTTCTCAGATACCCCGCACTGCACCGTACTTCCACCAGCTCCCCACATCAAGCTCTGCCTGGCCTAAGCTTCCCAAGCACCGACAGCCTTCGCTGACGCTACATGAAGAAGAAAAACAATGAAATAT